ACCGGAATTACAGGCGCGTGCTACCACGCCCGGCTAATTTTTTGATTTATTGTAAAGATGAGGTCTCGCTGCCCAGGCAGGTCTTGAACCCGCGGACTCAGGCAATCCATTCACCTCAGCCTCCCAAAGGCGCAGGATTACAGGCTGAGCCACCGAGCCCGGCTTTCCCACAGTATCTTTAGTAGCTGTCAAAGGGGCACCAATATCACCAACCAGTACCCGCGCTGTGCCTGCCTTGCCTTGGAAGAGCCCTGCAGATCCGTCCTTGGGTTGGGTGTACCTGCCCTCCATGTCTGGGCAAGCCTGGATACTCTGGCCTGCTTGGATCTGACCAGCATGCTATGAGAAGTGCACAATGGGATGTCTGTGACCTATTGTGTGACACTGTGCCGGGACACAGACCTCACACTCTTCCACCCCACAGGGAATTGCGTCTTTCTGGGTTTGTACTGAGCAGCCTTGCAGGGGTGGTGTTTGGCCGTTTGTGTGTCCAGTGCTGTGTTGTCACCTGACCTGGGGCCAGGAGTCCAGCATATTTATTGAAGAGACTTTGGCCTGTGTGCTATAGAGTTGGGGGCAGAATGTGTAAACAACTCTGTCCAGAATGTAACTGTGGAGGGTAGAAGAGAAATGGGACCATGGTTGGCAGTCAAGTGTTTTTTTATTTTATTTTGGGAGGGTGAATATGATGAAAAGGTTCCAGTGGACAAGGAAAAGTATTCTAATGCCCAAGAGCCCAGTGAAGTTATCAGTGTGCTGGCCAGAAAAGAGGAAACAGCAGTTCCCTATGTAGGGATGTGATAGTATATGCATGAGCAACTAAAGAGGGTGATCGTAAGAGTGGCAAGAATCTAAGCACTTTTCATATGGTGTTCAATGCGCACAACAACCTAATAAAGTGGGTGCTGTCATTGCTCCCACTTTATAGGTGAGGAGACTGAGGCACCAAGATGTAGAGTAACGTGGCTGAGGTTACGCAGCTGTAAGTGGCAGAGCCGAGATCGAAGCCCAGGCATCTGGCTCCACAGCTGAACTTCCAGACCCTACCCGAGTCTGCCTTTCAGAGGAGCATGACTCCCGGTGGCAGGACGGAGGACCCAGAGCTGTGGGCCAAGGGCTTAGCCTTTTATTTTATTATTTTCTTTTTTTTTTTTTTTAAGCTGGAGTCTCACTTTGTTGCCTAGACTGGAGTGCAGTGGCACGCTCCCGGCCACCGCAGCCTTGACCTCCTAGGCTCCGGCAATCCTTCCGCCTCAGCCTTCCAAGTAGTCGGAACTATAAGTATGCACTACCGCACCTGGCTAATTTTTGATTTATTGTAGAGACGAGGTCTCGCCAAGTTGGCCAGCTGGGTCTCAAACCCCCGGGCTCAGGCCATCCACTCGCCTCAGCCTCCCAAAGTGCTGGGATGACAGGCTGAGCCACCAAACCCGGCCGAGGACTTAGCCTTTCAAAAACAAGAAACATTTTCCCTGTGATACTGCTTTACATTCCCTCAGGAAAATTCAGAAAAGCATTGAGACCTTGGGAAACCGATCTGCCACCTCTCTCTCCTTGCTCTTTCAGGCAGTATAGGAGCCTGACTTCCAGGTTTCCCATAGCTGAGTGTTTCCTGTAGCTTTCACTTCTGCATCCTTTCAGCCAACCTCAGTGGGAGAAGCTCCCACCCTGCTCTGGCTGGACTCTCCCTGGGTGGAAGGATCCCATCTCCTCTGTGTTGGGTGAGCTGTGAGCCTCTAGCATTTCACTCCCTTGTATGGAGTGGCCAGGCCAGATGGCCTGGGCTCTAGTCACAGCCCACCACTTACAGCTGTGTAGCCTCAGCCACACTACTTTGTATCTTGGTACCTCAGTTTCTTCACCTGTGAAGTAGGGGCACTGCTAGCACCTGCCTTATTGGGTTGTGAGGATAAGCGCTCTATTACCCTGCGTAGAGGAAGCCCTGGCATGCCTGACTTCGTTTTCCTCCTGCCCTAGTATTTCACTTTTCTCAGTCATGTGTGTGCATCTGTTTTTTCGTCCATTTTTCTCCTTTAGGACTTACAGAGCAGGTACCACTTGGGAATTTGCTATGAGAAGGGTCTTGGTGTGCAGAGGAATCTGGGAGAGGCCTTGAGATGTTACCAGCAGTCGGCAGCTCTGGGAAACGAGCCTGCCCAGGAGAGGCTGAGGACCCTCTTTTCCGTGAAGGCAGCAGGTACAGACTCAAGTCAAAGCTAACAGGGTCCCACTCTTGAGATCAACACCCTGTGGGAGAGAATAGGGTGGCAGCAGCCCCTGGTCTCCATGTCCTTTCCAGCCCCAGTGGTGGCTAAGAGCACAGCTTTTGGAGTCAGACAGACCTGAGTTTTACCCTCCCATTACTGAATTTGGAACTGCATGGCTTTAAGCCTCAGTATCTTCACCTCTAAAAACAGGGTAATAGTAGTACCTAACTCATCAGGTTATTGTGAGGATTAAATGGCATGACGGGGCTGGGCACAATGGCTCACACCTGTAATTCCAGCACTTTGGGAGGCTGAGGTGGAAGAATCCCCTGAAGTGAGAAGTTCAAGACCAGCCTGGGCAACATAGCGAGATCCAGTCTCTAAAAAAAAAAAAATAGTTGATTGAGGTGGCATGCGCTTTTAGTCCCAGGTACTCGGGAGGCTGAAGTGGGAGGATTGCTTGAAGCCAAAAGCTCAAGACTGCAGTGAGCCATGATCATGCCACTGCACTCCAGCCTAGATGACAGAGTGAGATTCTGTCTCTAAATAAGTTTTTAAAATTTTTTTTTGAGTTGGAGTCTTACTCTGTCACCCAGACTGGAGTGCAGTGGCCGCTCCCGGCCACCGCAACCTCGACCTGCTGGGCTCTAGCGATCCTTCTGCCTCAGCCTTCCAAGTAGCTGGAACTACAGGTGCATGCTACCACACCCAGCTAATTTTTGATTTATTGTAGAGATGAGGTCTCATCAAGTTACCCAGGTGGGTCTCGAACCCGCGGGCTCAGGCAATTCACTTACCTTGGCCTCCCAAAGTGCTGGGATTACAGGCTGAGCCACCGAGCCCAGCCTAACATTTTTTTTAATGAGACAGCTGTAAAAGGTTTAGCACAACTTGACCCACAGTAGATATTGAATAAATGGTGACTGCTCCAATGATTTTGTGAGACTGTGTCCTAAGGGTGTCTGAATGGCCCTTCTGGGTCTCTGAGAGCCATGCTCATTGACAAGTCTCTGGTGCTGAGTTAACAATGCCATGGGGAACTGAGCCCTTTAAGTGTCAGTCCAAAAATACATCATGAGTAAGAGTTACTCTCACCTCTTTTTGTAGCCCGGGGGCCCAGCGACTTGGCAGTCACAGGCCTGAAGTCTTTCTCCAGCCCCTCCCTCTGCAGCCTGAACACCCTGCTGGCAGGAACCTCACACCTCCCACATGCCTCGAGCGCAGGGAACCTTGGCCTCCTCTGCAGAAGTGGGCACCTTGGGGCCAGCCCCAGAGCCCCCAGCGGGGCTGTCTCCCCACACCCCCACCCCTTGGAAAGGAGTCTCGTGAGACTGGGTTTTGGCTAAGGTGAGATAAAACACAGTCACTGGTGCCTTTTAGGGGCCAGGGAGCCAGTAGGTTGGGTGACAGCAATAGAATGACAGTAACCCTTTCTGTGTAGAAATTCCAGTGGGAGCTCAGGTTCCCAAGCAATTTCAAGTACATGGCTAATAAGCAACTGACCTTTAGCCTCGTTAGCCTCACAGATGAGTTTTGGATGAATTCACCGTCATTTCTGGTATGTGCCCCAAGAGGATTCATTCAGTGACCTACAAAAAAAGTCCTGAAGGGTTCAGAGACCCTGGTCCTCCCCCTGGCCTTTGTTTTAGAGCAAATCACTTACCTTCTCCTTCCCCATTCCTGTTTCCTCACACTTAAACTATACCATTGTTTGCCAGCATCTGGTGTATACCTCTGATGGTTCACAAGAGGATTTTGGGTCATATTCAAATTAATACTTTTTTGTTTTAGTAGTTATATATTGAATATATAATATAAAAATATGATTGGAACATTGACCTGTAGTGTTACAGGTATTATGTCTAGGATAAAGCTAACTTAAAAAACAAGTAATGCAATGAATTTAAGGAAAAACATGGCATAGAGGGGAACACAGATCAGATAGGTGGCCAAAATCACGGGAAGGTTCCGAGAAAGGCTGACACTTGGGAAACACTGAATCAGGTGTCCCTGAGACCAGCTCCAACCTCCGCCTTTGTCCTCCCTGTTGTATTCATGATCATTTTCATTTTACCTTTGGTTTAGAGGGGAGGAGTTTCTTGCCTCAGTGCCTGGATGTGTCTGGTTGACTATTCAGACCTTCTCACTTCAGCCCTAAAGATGGAACCCATGGGTTCTGAGAAGGCTATCTCAACTCGAACCTCAAAGAAGAGGCCGGTTATCTACTCACCTGTCCCAAGACCTTATACACCTGCCCTAGCACAGTAAAGAAGAAGAAAATGTATGAAGACCCGGGTTCTGACTTGGCCACTTGCCAGGCCATTTCACTTTGTAGCAGCAACCTGACTCGCTATATTGTGTCCTCAGTAACGATTGATCAAAGGCAATGGTATCCACTTTCCCACCTTACAGGACGGACACAAGGGAATTTCATTGTGGAAAGGACTTTGATGCTCACTTGGCCTTAGAGGCAGAGATACCCATGGTTGTGTGGCTTTATGAGTCACAGGACAGGATGGGGACCCAGGCCTCCTGCCTCCTGGCCAGGGCTCTTTTCCAGCAATTCACACAGTGGTTCCATGTGAAGGCATTGTCATCTCACCCATGTGAGAGAGTGCACGGAGGATTGAGGACTGGGAGTCTTAGAGCAGGCGTGTAGATCTCAAGGTCCTCATCTGAGAAAGGTGTGCCAGAAATGTCTGAGTGTCTAATAAAACAAATGCTGGCTTATCTCACCACTGTAGCCCTTGAGTGCATGGGGAGAGCCAGGGAGATGGGCAGGGGGGCTGAAAGCTGAGGCTTCTTTCTCATCTTGAAACTCTCCAGTAACCAATTTAAAGGTCTTAAAAGCTTCTCCAAGAGAGAGACTTAGGAAAAAATGATTTCTGAGTCAACGCTAATGAGTCCAATTACTGAATTTGCGAATAGCTGTTCCCTGGCTTCTGGATGTTAGCCCAAGTTCAATAGCATAGATGTGGTTGAGGGTGGGGGTGGGAGGGACGGAGGGCAAACCCCCTGGAGACTTTTTGAATGGGAAAGACCAAGCAGCTTGGCCAGTTCAAAGATGGGAGGATGAGGAGGATGTTGTCCACGGTTCCCTCTCTGCTGCCCACCCCACCTTTCCCAAGCTCCAGGTGGTCCCATCCCAGCACCTCCCTCACCACTGGGACCCCCAAGCTTTCTGTAGCTCCAGCGCCTCCCCTGCCCATGCTTTCTTTCCAGGGCTGCCCACACATGACTGCCGTCCACAGATGGTGCTTCTTGGGAGCAGGATCCTTGTCTTTGTGTTCCAGTGTCCCCAGCACTAGGTGTGATGTCCTATGCAGGGTAGAGGGATTCTCTGCTTAAGGTTTTAAGCCATGCAGTGCACTAAGATCTCTGCCAAAAAAAAAAAAAGATATCTGTGGTTAAATAAGTTTGGGAAATGCTGCACCAGACGTCCCCTTTTTATAGATTCACAATATACATCAGCATATTCGAGGTTCCAAGAAGTCCTGCCGTCAAGGTCTTGGTTAACCCAGTGTTTCCCTAGCTGAGTTGAGCACAGAGCCCACACAACCCCTTACCCCAAACTGCCTCTGAGCCTCCCTGAGGATCCTCTGTGTAAGTCACCGCCTGACCTGGGGAGTTCTACTCCCAGCCTCTTCTTGTCTCTCCTCCCTTGTCATTTTCATCTTGAGTTCTCTGATGGCTGCTTCTTCCCAGTCATGCTTGGGCCAAGGGGGCAATTCAGGTGGGCCATTGTTGGACCCTAGGAGTCCTAGGGTGAGGGCCGGATGCAGTTCCCTGAGTGGCTCTCCCTCCCCCTGGGGCACTACTGAGTTAAATTCTGATTCAGTTTGGGGGGGCCAAAGGTAAGGGGTATGACATTTTTAAGCTCTCCAATTTAAAAAAGAAGGGACTTTCCTGTGGAAAAGGAGGATGAGTCCTGAGGGAGGTGTTGTCAAGGGACCAAAACTCCTTGGCTGTTCAATCACTGCAGTCTTGATACAGCCCCAGGGGATGGGCTTCACTGGCAGACCTGGGCTCTGCTGTGCTTTTGCCATTAAAATTCCATTATTAATGACTCATCTTCAGGGGCAGGATGCCAGTGACTCAAGGTTTGGGGCTCTGCGCCCTGAGCAATGAGACTCTTGTGCAAAGCTTTACTGCCTCAGTTCCCTGTCCAGAGATGCTGTTGTCAGGGAGTCCCGACACTATAGTGAGAACAAGGCTGTTTGGTTCATTGTATCTTCAATGTGAATACAGTGTAGGACACTTGGTAGATGTTCAGTATTTATTCAATGAATGAGTGACTGTATGCACCACTCCTTCCTACCCAGTGCCCACCTAGCACATAGTAGGTGCTTTAAATAATTTGAATGGATGACTGATCCTATATCGCCCTCCACCTGCTGTTGTTTCTTTTCTCTCTTTGGCACTTAGTCATTGCTTAATAAATACCAAATGTTGTCCAATGAGTGCTTTTGATGATACCTCGCCCATTCCCCTTTACACTGTACCCAAGATGGAGCTGGGGCTGGGAAACACTGACTTGCTTTCTAGGTCCACACTGTGTGCCAAGCTGAGCCTGTCCTGCTCCCTCCTCCCCTCCTGCCCTCCCTTTTTTGGCATTTGGTTCTCTCCAGAGTCCCAAGGGGAGTGGCTGTCTCACTTTTGTTTCAGCCAGAGGAGAGGTAGGGTCAGTGAGCTGCCAAGCTGAAGTTGGGTGACAGGCAGGGAGGCTGCTGTCAATCTCTGGGCTGCCCCCGGGGCTCTGAGTGAGCACTGCATTGCATTCCTGGTGTTGGAGAACGGCTGACTATTGATTAAAAAAAAAAAATCCCTCTGTGCTTTCCAAATTAAGACGACATTTAACTGAGTGCTCGCTGGCTTGCCTGTTCCCTCGGTCTCCCAGGGGACGGAGCCCATCTCTGTGGAAACTCTTTTGAGCATGTCCAGAGTCTCAGCTTTGACATCTTGGCTGATGTCAAGAAGTTTCTGTAACCGTCCTGTTCAGCACATCCAGTTCTGTCACCATACACACTGTCTCCCTCTCAACCTGCCACTAGGAAAAGTGCTGGTATCAGCGCGCTGGGAGGTGATGCATGGTGCAGGAAAGGGCACAGCCCTCTCACACACATCCTTACCCCGTCAGCGTCCAGGCGCCTCAGAGCAGGAACAACTCTACCCAAGAGTTCGGGTTCAGCGGGGAAGGCAGAGCTGAGGAATGGCTGAGAGGACTGCAGTGTTCCTTAGTCTTATTGAGGTCCCAAACCCCTTTGAGAATCTGATGAAGGCATCTCTTCCCATAGACAAAAATGCATATCCCCCAATTTTACATGCAGTTCAGCAGGTGCATATATCCTGAAGCCCAACCGAGGACTCCAGGTTAAGAACCCTTGATGTATTAGAACACCATACTAAGTCCCAGATTCAATTCCTAGCTCTACCCCAAACCTGCCAGGTGGCCTTGGGCAAGCCATCTGCCATTCCTTTCTGTCTTTGCCTATAAAATGAGTTGGAATAGATAAAATTCAGACTCCTTGTGACTACAATTGCCCATGTCTGTGGAGGTTTAGACAGTATCATAGAGCAACACTGCATTACCTTTTATAGGTCAAATGTTCCTTTGAGGATCTGATGAGAACTGTGTATCTTCTGCCAAAAAAAAAAAATGCCTGTACACAGTTTTGCCTTGTGTACAGGCTTTTGTGCTGGAGTGGTGCAGTGGTCCCATGTATCCAGTGACCCAGTTGCCAGCTGTGGTTCCAGCTTCCTTAGATGACCTCCTGCCCCCATCTCTGCTTCTCTGTACCTTTTCTTTCTTTTTTGGGGGGGGTCGGAGTCTCATTCTGTTGCCCAGGCTGGAGTGCAGTGGCACACTCACAGCAACCACAGCCTCAAACCTGCTGGGCTCAAGTGATCCTTCTGCATGACTCAGTCTTCCAAGTAGCTGGAACTACAGGCATGCACCACCACGCCTGGCTAATTTTTTGATTTATCGTAGAGACGAGGTCTTGCCAAGTTGCCCAGGCTGGTCTCGAACCCGTGGGCTCAGGAAATCCTTTCACCTCTGACTCCCAAAGTGCTGGGGTTACAGGCATGAGCCACTGCACCCAGCTCTCTGTACCGTGTCAACACCAGCTCTGAACTGAAAATCACTAGTAATGGGTGTGGGGTGTCAGCACTGTCTACTCCAGTGCTGTGGTTTCAGACTTTTTTTTTACATAGTGGAACCATTTTTTTTCCTATTAAAGTCTTACCTAGAACTCCAATATGGAGAAGAGGGGACTCTGAAGCATTCATTGACCCATTTATTCATTTATATATCCATTTGGCAAGTAGTCATCAAGTGCTGCTTTGTGGCAGGCACTGGCCGAACAGGCTGGAGGCTCTACCTGCCTGGTTTCCCCGGCCTCTTTCACCGACCTGCAGAAGCCAAGAGCTCTGTGAACCAGCTTGAAATTCACAGGTCTTGTAAGGAGATCTCTCTGGCCTGGAGTGAGGTGATCAGAGGTAACTTTTATCTGTAAAGTGGAATGGTAGAATAGTGAAGCCATGGTGTATTCCAAGTATGTGCAATGTTCATGATCCCTAATTGGGGGATATGATTGGCCCATTTCTGTGGACAGTGGACATCAGCTCTGAGCTCCAAGAAAGGACAAAAGGAGGAGTACAGAGAGGGACTTTCGTCTTCAGTGTCCAGGAGAGGCCCACACTATCAGAAGCTAGCTGAATGACTGCTTGGAAATTTCCAGAAAAATCACAAGGCTGAGCCTTGGGAAAATATCTGCTGTTTCCTCCCTCCCCCCTCCCCTGGAAGGTTGGCTGCTGTCAGTGCCGATTTCACAGACCCGATTCACACAGTGTCCTCAGGGCCGTGAGTTCACAGGCCCGAACCTGCAATGACAGAGGAAGGTTTACCGCAAATAGGGTCGGGAAAGATGATTTCTGTGCTTGAAGAGCTGCTCGCTGGGAAAGGAAAAGGCCTGCATCAGGTCAGACCCAAGTTCCTTTCACCCGGTGCTTGGGAGTGCAGACATGTGCTGCCCTGGCTTTGGAAATGTCTGTTTCAACAGTGTCCTGAGGATAGCTTGGGCAAATCCACTGCTGGCAAAAGCTACCTCTGGGGCTTTTCGTTTTCCTTCCATGGATGGCAGTCTAGAGTCAAGGTGGAGGGCACGGGTGTTGGTGTTGGAGCAGCCTGGGATCAAATCAAATCCTGGTTCTGCTTCTGCTTCCTACTTGATCTTGGGAAAGAAAGACACTCAATGTCTCCCAGCCCCATATCCCTGTCTGTCAAGGGTTAATAATACCTCCCTTCCAGGACTGTTGGAAAATCAAGTTAGATCCTATTGTAAAGCCTAGTGCCTGGCTCATGTAAATGCTTTATAAATAGTCATGCTTTTCTTAGCCCTAATTTTCTGGCTGGGAAGCAGATTACTTGATAACACAGCGATAGAGGAGCCAGGTCTAAAGCATGCATGTTCATTATTTGCGAATCTGTCACTGTGCACCAAGGAGCCCCACTCCTGTCCAGCCCCAGCTTGACTGTCTTACCAGGGACTGGATGACAAAGGACCCTCACTCTAGTCCTCTTCCCTCCTCCCCACTGACAGGTGCAAACAGAATGAGCCATTGCTGTTTCTTTATTAGTAAATCAGAGAACATTGGCTGGTGCCCCCAGGACTCAGCCCCCACTCCTAGGGTTCAGGAAGGCCATCCTTCCCTGCTTGTGATACTCTGTGGCATCTGTTCCACCAGAGGACTGACCCCTTGTGCTCTACGTGTGTTTTTCCAGCAAACACTTAGCCACAAACTGTCCCTGTCCTCCAAAAAAACTTAGAACCACTTACAAGGGGCTGCTTTGGTCAGCCAGCTGTCAGTCCTGGGACCCTGCCTCCTCTGTGGGGGCAGCATCAGGTACCCTAAATTTCTCGGGCCACCTCTGGCCAGTGAGTTCCAATAAACCAGCTCATGTCCCCAGATCCACAGGACCTGGGCGCCTCGACATCTCCCAGGGCCCCTGGTTCTTGGATCCAGAGGCATGCGAACTGCGTTCACAGGCACTTGCTGCCACCATCACCACCACTGGTGCCCTCGGTTCCCTTCTTTCCACCGAGGCCTCCCTGCTCAATGGTGCCTGAGGCCTTGCTGGCGGCCAGGTCTAGACTGAGGGTCCTCCCACATACGGAGAGCCGCCTCAGAGCCTCAGAGGCAGCCTCCATTGGCACCTCGGTGCGCTGCTCCAGCAGCATCTCCAGCAGTGAGCTCATCTCCGAGAGGAAGGTGCTGGCCAGCCGAGTGCCCGCTGGGCTCAGCTCCGGCCCCGCCTCCTTGCCGAATGTCTGGAAGGTCCTTGGCTCCTCTGAGGCAGCAGCATCCGGGGAGGTCACATTGTCACGGTAGTTGGTGGTGAGGGGCAAAGACAGCCTGGCCATCCAGGCCGGGTCTGGGGCGCTCAGACGGTCCAGGGCCAGGCCTGCAGGGGAGGAGGGGACACCGTGAGGCAGGGCCAGGGCAGTGGACAAAGGAGGGAAGGGAAGTGGTGGGGGACAGACGGAGTAGCCAGAGGGGAACGGGAAGGAAGAGGCCCTGACAGGGTCGCTCCCTGGGCAGGAAGGCAGCTGACTGGAGCCCCCGGGGGAGCCACATGGATAAGAGGCAGGAGGAGGAGAAGGCCTAGAAGTAGACATGAAGAATGTCCCAGCTTGGCTTGATGTGTGTTTCGGGTCTAAGTGTCTTCTACCTTCCAGCCAGGACTTTTACACCTCAGGGAGCCTTCTCCCCTCAGGGCACCACAAAGCTGAGGATAGGATAGAGGGAAATCCCTTTTCTCAGCCACTGCTGGAGTTGCTGGATGGGCACTGCCTTCCATTCATATTTATTTTTTTAACTTTTTTGAGTTGGAGTTTCACTCCGTTGCCCAGGCTGGCGTGCAGTGGCACACTCACAACCACCCCAGCGTCAACCTGCTAGGCTCCAGCGATCTGCCTCAGCCTTCCAAGTAGCCGGAATTACACGTGCGCACTACCACACCCGGCTAATTTTTGATTTATTGTAGGGACGAGGTCTCGTCAAGTTGCCAGGCTGGTCTCGAACCCGCGGGCTCAGGCAATTCCCTCGCCTCGGCCTCCCAAAGTGCTGGGATTACAGGCTGAGCCACCGAGCCCGGCCCCCATCCGCATTTATAATAATAGTGGCCCCTTATCAAGTAATGATGTGCCAAACAGTGCACATATTTATTTCATGTAACTTCCACACAAAGCTTTAAGGTCAAGGGTATTATCCCCATTTTATGGATGGGAAAACTCATAAGAAGCTCAAAGAAGTTAGTCACACATCCGCCAGGTGACCAAACCCTGATTTGACCCAGGTCTGATGACCTCGAAGCCACCTGTGATGGCACCGCCTGCCCTCTCTCTTTGGAGGGGGCCCTTCCTCCCTCTGGGTTCTCCAGGTACCCACCTGTGGTCTCTGGAATTCCCAGGCCTGCTAAAATCTGCACTGTCACCACCTGGCCCCCTGCTTTCAAGTTTTCCTTGACACCTTCACCTCTCAAGCTGCAGAAAACCTTGGCCTAGAATTGGGCTGGAAAGGGGCTGCCTACCTGAGGGCCATCCCAGGAAAGGACCAGGTCAGCCTGGTGGCTTGAAATTCAAAGAATTGTCCCCTAGATCCCCAATGCCACGGTCACACTTCCCACTCCTTCAATAGAAGATCCTGTCCGAAAAACTAGTCCCACACCTGAGGCTAGAGACCACGCCATAGGAAAGTGTAAATCCTATGGTAAGAAACAGTGTCTTGCCGGGCTCAGTAACTCAGCCTGTAATCCCGCGCTTTGGGAGGCTGAGGTCAGTGAATTGCCTGAGCCCGCAGGTTCGAGACCTGCCTGGGCAACTTGGCGAGACCTCATCTCTACAATAAATCAAAAAAATTAGCTGGGCGTGATAGCACGCAGCTGTAGTTCCAGCTACTTGGAAGGCTGAGGCGGAAGGATCGCCGGAGCCCAGCAGGTCGAGGCTGCGGTGCCCGGGAGTGGCCACTGCACTCTAGTCTGGGTGACAGAGTGAGACTCCAACTCAAAAGAAAAAAGAGAGAAAGAAACAGTGTCTTAAATTTTGAAAAAAGGCACAACATTCACTTTAACATTTATCTAATGTTTGCCTAAGGTGAGTTACTTTAAAATCTGTGCACGGAAGAAAAGACTGAAAGGAGATATGTCAAAGTGTTAACTGAAATTACCCCTGGGCAGAAGTGATTTATTCACTTTTTGTTTATCTATATTTTTCTACATTAACCAAATACTACTTTTGTAATTTGAAAAAGTTATTCCAAAGTACAGTGAGTCATTTTTTTATATTGATAAATGAATCTCTGTCTTGTATTCAATTCTGAACTATGCAGGCTGTGAGTCAGGGTTGAGCCCCTGCCCTACTGAATCCTGGGGTCTACCCCCATGCCTGGGACTCAGTGAATGTTTATTGAATGATTGAACATAAATATTAGTCCTCAACACCTGAGAAACGCAAACTCTAGTTCCCTGAGACACTGAGGTAATAAAGTTGGTTGGAACTCTTGGTTCTTTTCTTTGTATGAGGGTCAGAGAGCTTCAGAAGTGGGGAGGCTTGAGGTGAGAAAATCACTGGGGCACGGGAGGATGGCTGAAAAGCTGTGGAAAAGTCGCTCAGCATCTTCAATAGTTCCAGTTGCTGGTGGGCACCAGCCAGGCTGGGCTTGGTTTCCCAACTCTGCTATTTAGGGTCAGTGTGTGTGACCATGGGAAAGTAACTTCACTTCTAAGCCTTCTCTTCTCACAAAGTGGTTAGACAGTCGTGTTCATCTTGTCAGGCTGTTGTGAGAGTCAGTGAATTCATGAATCCAGTAAAACGTGATTGTTGCTCTCGGGTGGGGCCTTTTTTTTTTTTTGAGTCAGAGTCTCACTCTTTGCACAGGCTGGGGTGCAGTGGCCAATCACTGCTCACCACAATCTCAACCTCCTGGGCTTAAGCAATCCTCCTGCCTCAGCCTCCCAAGCAGTTGAGACTACAGGTGTGCACTGCCACACCCAGCTAATTTTTAAAAATTTTTTGTAGAGACAAAGTCTTACTGTGTTGCCCAGGCTGTTCTCAAACTCCTGGCTCAAATGATGCTCCTGCATTGGCCTCCCAAGTGGGGCTTTTATCTGATGCAGCCAGACCCCAGTCTCAGGCACACCCATTAGTGGCCCTGTGGCTGTCCAGCCTGTAGGCAGCAAAGGCTCTTCTCTCTTCCTTCTCATGCCCCGCTCCTCACCACAGCACCCTCTGTGGGGTCAGTACCCTCTGTGGGGAGACAGGATTATGTAGGAAGGGGACCAAAGGTTTTAGCCCAAGCTGGCCAACAGAGATAGAACCCAAAGCTGTTTCCCCTATCCACATGCCACTGCTGAGCACTTAGAATGTGGCTGTCATGACCGAGGAACTGAATATTTCATTTTTTAAAATTTTAATTCATTTATGTTTAAACAGCCATGTGTGGCTAGTGACTACCATATTGAACAACAGTTCTAAAATTTGGAACCATGCTGTCTGTGTTAACAACCATAGCTACACAACCTTGGGCAAATCATTAAATGCCCCAACCATCACGTTTTTTCTCTATGAAATGGGGTGCACGAATAGCCTCTCTCTTTCTCATGAGGTACTTAGAACACATAGAAAGTGCTCAGTAAATGTTAGCAGTACTTTTTAAACCAAAGAAAGGGAAGTCCCTGCTGTGCCTTCAGCATGTTAGCAGTCCAGTGGAGCACAAGAGAAATCGAACGTTAACTACAGAAGCAGAAGTCCACAGTGTGGGGATGGTCAGACACATGGAGTGTTGCCTAGCGGAGGCCGACCAATGTCCACAGCAGGTGTGGGGGCAGCTAGCAGATTCCCGAATTCAAGTTTGCCTTTTGTATTGATTGCCAAAACTCATTGTTTCGGCCAGGCACGGTGGTTCATGCCTGTAATTCCAGCACTTTGGGAGGTGGAAGCAAGAGGATGGCCTGAGACCAGGGATTTGAGACCAGCCTGAGCAACTTGGCAAGACCTCGTCTACAATAAATCAAAATATTAGCCGGATATGGTGGCACGTGCCTGTAGTTCCTGCCACTTGGAAGACTGAGGCAGAAGGACTGCCTGAAACCAGCAGGTCGAGGCTGCAGTGGCCCTGACCATGCCACTGCTTTCCAGCCTGGACGACAGAATGAGACTCCAACTCAAAAAATAATAATCATAACAATAATAACTCATTGCTTATCTACAAAAAATTATTTTTGCTTCCGTTACAAGTGTTAGTACATTAAAGAGTGGAAGGATATTTGAAAACACCAAGGACATACAAATAAGTAGCTCAAGCATTAAGGGGAAGTCTCCTGAGGACAGGCTGGCCTAGGTTTTGGCCCCCTTCAATTGCAGGTGAGCTGGGTGACTCTGGGCAGGCTACTTTACCTTTTTGAGCCTGAGTTTGCTCATCTGTAAATTGAAGCTAAAAGTATCAGAGGACTGGTTGGAGGCTTAAATGAGATAGTACATATACGATGCCTCTCCGGTGCCCAGCACACACCAAGAATTCAGTCATTGTTCACTATTCTTACAGTGATTTTACAATTAATAATCAAAGTCGATCTTGGCCTTTCAACATATACTTTCTGAGGCTGCAGGGGAGTACAGAGTTGCTGCTGCTCCTCTCCAGAAACAGAGTGGCTATTTCCCTGCGGTGGGTTGAAGTAGATCCCTGAAGCCCTGGCACATGAAGGCACCATGAGGCAGAAGCAGGGTCAGGATGATCCGAGGGTGTCCCTACCTGTGTGGGGGTCCAGTAGGCTCGACAGCTCTTCTTCTAACAGCCGCTTCACAGAGAGATCCTCTTCGGGGTCCAAGGACTCTTCCTCCTGCTCTGGCTCTGCCTGGCCACCATCCCTGGCACTTGGGCCATCTGTGTCTGGGACTGTACTCCTGCAAAGGGGACCAGCCAGTCCACGGGTGAGGAAATCCCCACAGATATTCACTCATTCATGCCCAACTATGCCCGCATTCATTCGCCCTCAGAGGGAGCTGGATACACAGCCCAGCCTTTAAGTCAGGCCAGCCTGGGGTATGCGATCCCAGCCCTACTGTTTTGCCTGTTTCCTCATCTTTAAAGTGGGAACAATACATAGCACCCACCTCATAGGGCGTTGAGAGGGCAAGATGAGCCGTCACAGGAAGGGGCCTAGCACAACTGAAAGGCTTTCGATGCCTGGCACATTGAAAGCCTCAGTAGACAGAAGAGAACATGAATTCATTGATATTCTCACTCCTGTTGGCCCTCCCATGCCGTTGCATTGCCTGGCGCAGAGGAGTTTAATAATTTCGTCTGAGCTGATGCGGTCAACCACCAAACTATCAGCACAGGAACTCTAGCAAGGCAGGCATTTTTGCCTATTTCAGTCCCTGCTCCCTCACCAGTGCTCAGAACGGGGCCTGGCACACAGTAGGTGCTTAATAAGTACTTAGTGGAATGAGTGACTGAGCAAAACCACATGGAGGACAAGCTCAGCCAATGGAGAATTTTTGTGGATCAGATGTGACACTGTGTTATAGCGAAGGGAAAATGCTGTCATTTAGTCATTCATTATTCACCCTTCCATTCCTTCAACCAGTACTGAGGACGGTGGGCCAGGCAGGGTGGCTGCTTAGGGAGCAAGGACGAGAGGGAGACCCCGCTGTGCCCTCAGGGGGCTCGGGGTCTGTCTGGAAGGCAGGGAAGGGTGCTTCCGAGGGCCCAATGCTGCTCAGAACCTCCCACCTCCTGCTGCTGTCTCCATCCTGGCCCCTCCCTCCACAGCCACCTGGGGACAGCCCTGGCAGCAGGTGGGAAGGCTCTCTGAGGGGCTTTGAGACCTGGGAGTTCCTTTCTGTTTGTTTGCTTTGTTCTCTGTAGCCATTTCTGCTGCTGTGAAGAGATGAGTGTGGAGGTGCCAAGTGTGTGGGTGACAATGACAACCAATGCTTATTGAGCCATGAGTCTGAGTCAGGTTTCATGCTATGCTAGGTACATGCACGTGCACAGTTTCATTCAAACCTTTCACACTTGTCAGGGGTTCTTTTTTTATCATCCCATCTTACAAATGAGCAGACTGAGACTCAGAAAGATTTTGCAGCTGGCCCAAGGTTCCCACAGATTGAATGACAAAGCAAGAATTCAATCCAGGCCTATGCGACTCTGGGGTGTGACTCCGCTCTACACCACCTCTCACCAGCCTTGCAGAAAAGAAGGCACAAGTTTTCAGAGCAAGAGCACTGATCCAGGAGTCAGGAGCCCCGAGAGCTGCTCCCAGCTTTGCCACCCATTTGTTATATGACCTTGAGCAAAATTACTTCGAGGGGAAAGAACTCGGTATCGTGAAGATACCTACCATGTGCCAGGCACTGGGCTGTGGGCTTAGAATGAAATCCTTACCTCGTGGTTACAGGGGATGTGCTATGACTTCCATTTTACAGATGGGGAAACAGGTCCTGAGAGATTTTCTGACTTGTTCAAGTTCACATAGCTGGGTTGGATCAAACTACTTAGAGCCTCAGTTTCCCCATCTGTAGCAAGGAGTTAGGTTAGGTGTCCTCTCGAGGTCCTCTCAATTCTAGGATTGCCCCAAGGGACACACCCACATACCCACGTCCTTGGTGGGAAGCTTTCATATTATTCCTTGGTATTATGTTTACGGGTCAAGAGAAGGTGAAAGTTACAGATCTAAAGCCAATTTACAGCACCTCTGAAATCAGGGGACAGATAGACCTCAGGGATGAAGTCATTTCCTGAGTGACTCTCTAGGTTCCGTAAGCTCCATAAATACAGCCGCCCAGGACGAGGCCTCCCAAGGTGGGAGGATGGATGGAGTCTGCTGTACCCACCCAGGGAACCGGTGTCTGGGATGTGCCCACCCTTTCTCATCCCACAGAGGCTGCAGGGGCGAGGGGAGGCTGGCGGGGCCTTGAGATGCCTGTGGGGGCTGTGTGCTGCTTACCTGCTGCCGCCTGGCTTGGCCAAGTACTTATTTCCTCGGTGGTTCGGTTTGGGTTGGAATTGGCCCTGATGCAGCAAGGACAGCAGCTGGGAGATTTGCTACAAGACAGGAAAAATCTGTTGACTCCACACAATTCCGACCCAGCACACTTCCTCGCCGGATGTTTCCCTCAATGCCGGTGCTTGCTTTTTATAGTCTTTCCTCTGGCTTCAGATGTTTGTGTGATCAGATGGGGGAGGGTGCCCGGTGATGGAGACAGGGACCTGGACAGGCAGGTCCCATGCTTTGCCGTGTCTTCCCAGGACCTGGGCATCTGAGAGGGAGCACCGGGACCCTCTGGTCCCGTCCCCTCACGATCATTCCCTCAATTGACCTGTGCCTAATGGGGCTCTGGGTGATGGGGGTGAGAAAGGCACTTCCTGACCATGAGTTTGTTATTACTTTGATAAGGATTGTCTTACAGAGTTATTTTCCCCTCTTAGCAGTGTTCAAACATTCAGCCAATTTTTATACGCCAGATGTGAGACTGTATTGTGAAGAAGGCAAAACGGGGTCATTTAGTCATCCTTCCATCCATTCAACAAGAACTTACTAAGCCAGGCAGGGCGGCTGCTGAGGGAACAAGGATGAGAAGGAAGCCCAGCTGTGCCGTCAGGGGTCTCGGGGTCTGGCTGGAAGTCAGGGAAGGGTGCTTACGACGGGGCTTGCCTCTGGGCTTTGGGAAAGGGTGAGGTCTGTGGGAGCAGAAGAGGCCCCTGTCCCATTTGGAGCCGGGAGGGAGCAGGGGGCGATGCTGGGGTGGTTTGTTCATTTATTTCAGCACATGTCTATTGGGCTCGTACTACACGCCAGGCATACCTGCTGAGACCCAAAGACTCCATAGAAGTTTGGCAAGTGGAAAGAGGGAGGGTCCAGGCTGGGCTGAAGGGTTGCAGGCAGAACTACTGCAAGCTGAAAGGCTGGAGAGAGGGTGGAATTTCAGAAAGGCTGGGGAAAAACTAGGAGTGGGCGGGATGTCAGAGCCAGACCCTATAGGCCAAGTCTTGGGAGTCTGCGTTCTAGTTCCAGGTAATTTATAGCTTCTTGTGAAGTGTCAGGCAGGTTTCTAGAACTCCTCAGACCTCAGTTTCCACATCTGTAAAGCAGGGCCAGAAATATCCACCCAGCCTTCTTCACAGCGCTGTCAGGAGGAGATGGCTGAAAAAATTAAAAATCCTCTGCAGATACAAGGAGTTTGAGCTGTTACTCCCAGAAATACTGCTTCCACCCCCTGGGCCCACCCCTCTTCCCCGCTTGGGAGGCCCACTCTGCCCCTCCATGCAGCTCAAGGCAGGAGGTGCCAACCTCAGAGGAGAATTGGGAGAGGAAGTGACCAGGACTGGGGTTTTGCTGTGACTTGGGAGGGTCAGGGTCCTGCTGCCTGCCTCAGGGCAGATGCCCCCTCCCAGTCCAGGCCCAGAAGCCCTCCTAAGGCACCTGCCAGGCTTTGCCCGAGTGACAGCTGACTTTTCATGTCATGACTCCCCACAGTGTTGAGTGCTGTCATTGAGGGTCACTTCACAGCTAGAGCCCAGACACTGCAGTCGGTCAGACTCAGGCTCAAATCCTAAATCTGCCCCTGCCCTCATTCCCACTGGAGTGACTTTGAGGAAGTACTTAAGCATTCTGAGCCCCAGTTTCCTCAGTAGTAAAAAAGTGAATAATAATGACACCCAAGTCATTAAACCAGGATTAAATGAGCCAGAGTATATAAATCACTTATTAACAGAGCCCATGACAAGCACTTAATACTTGTCCTATGGTATATAATCTCATTTCATCTTTACAACAGCCCAAGGGAAGAGACACCCTTGTGTCCATTTTGCAGAGGTGGAACCCGAGGCTCTCAGGGACTACACAGCAATTAGTGGCAGGGCTGGAATTAGAACTCACATCTGACTCCACTGTGCTGCTGGAAAGATATGAGCATTGGGCAAGCTGCCTCCCACCCTCTAGTTGACCTCAAATGGGCACCTTTATTTCCATCACCCTGGCAGAGTCACCCATTATGCCTTCGCTCTGCTGTCCTGTCCACTAGCAGCCAGCACAGTGTTCGTCACAAAGAGGTCATCCAAAAAGCACTTAATGGATGGATGGAGGGAAGGAGGATGGATGGATGGATGGATGGATGGGTAACCTCGGAGTCTGCATGGAGCCCCGGGCAAGATTCCTAAGAGAACAGCTGGGCTAGCTCCAGGTGGCTTCCTGAGAAGGGGGTGAGGGGAGGAAGCTGCGTCCTCGCTTCAGGGAAACTTGAGCTGAGGGCCTGGCCAAGTAGAAGTGTGCCTTGGAGGGGCCGCCTGGCGTTGTGAAAATGTCTGAGGCTCAGAGGAGCAGATATGAGTCTGAGATCAGGCACCATCCCTGAAGAAGATGCCGCGTTTGTGTCTAGTTAATCCTGGGTCACTAGATATTGTGCCATTCATGGTTCCGTCTAGTCTTCACCCTTCCGGGAGGGAGATGCAGGTAAGTTCCGCCTCATAATTCCTGTTATACTGATGAGGACAGTGAGGTGCAGATGTTAAAGACTTTGCATGAGGTTGCCCAGCCCCTAAGTGGCTGTGTTGAAATGTGAACCTGCGTCTGCCTACTGCCACGTTTCCAAGATTGTTTCCATTGTCCCTCCCTGCAGGCCCAGTCAGAAAGCTCTGGGATCTCAGGCAAGCCAAGTGCATCCTCTAAACCTGGAAGACTGATGCCCACACTGGCTTACTTCATAGGGCGGTTACCCCGGTGAGATAAGGGCACATGAGAACAGAGATGGAGAAGTACTTTGCAGAAGTCATAGTGATCATTTGCTGAGTGCCAACTGCATGCCAGACATCATTCTACAGGCACTAGGTGCCTTCATCATTTCATCTGCAAGCAAACTTAGGAGATGAGTGCTGCTAACACGGACATCTTCAACAGAGAAGTTGAGTGACTTTCCTGAGATTCACAGCAAGAAAGAGGTAGAGCCAGGGTCTGAACCCAGGCAATCTTGCTCCAAAGCTTATACTCTCTATATTTTTGTTTTATTTTTAGAGACAGGGTATCACCTTGTCACCCAGACTGGAGTGCAGTGGCGCAGTCATAGCTCACTACAACCTCAAACTCCTGAGCTCAAGCCATCTTCCCACCTCAGTCTCCCTAATAACCTGGTGGCGAGCACCACCACACTCAGCTAACATTTAAAAAAAATTTTTAGGGATGGGGTCTCACTATGTTGCCCAGGCTGGTCTTGAACTCTGGCCTCAGGCGATCCTCTCACCTTGGCCTCCCAAGGTGCTGGGATTACAAGTGTGAGCCACCACACCTGGCCCCAAAGCTCACACTCTTCATCACTACCTTTGCGCTGTGTCTGCTTTTGCCAGGCACCATGAATGCTTTATAGGGATTAACTGATCAAGTCCTCAGGACAACTGTATGCAGCAGATATTCTCACCAGCACTCCTATTTTACAGATAAGGAAACTAAGGCTCAGAGACAGGAAGTAATTTGCCCAGGATCACACAGCTGAGTTCAGCTGATCCCAGAGCTGTCCCTGAGCCATTGCTCCCAAAGTATCATCACGTGCCAGGTGAGCCAAAGGAGCAAATGTGCGGACTGTGAGGGCGATGGGGGTGTCTGGTGCTGCTGCTGGTGGCCCGGGGTGACCAAAGAGAGAGCTGCCCGTGACCCAGGTACCTGGACAGGAGGAGAGTCCACAGTGAGCTCCTCCATGGGGTTCCGCTCTGCGAAGGCAGCCACGGACAGTCGGACCAGGCTCCGCAGGATCTGGCGAGGGCCCGATTCCTTCTCGGGAGACACTTTGCCATTGAGATTTCGCTGCCGCCTCAG